TGCCAGTTCAAATTTTACAACAACTGTGATCGACACTTTTATTCAAGTATTAGTCCTTATCAGCTTATCATTTATTATTGTTTGTCCCGTGTGTTCCTAATAGAGCAAAGGGATTCAGAAGTACATTGCCATTTCACTCTGTTCTCTACATGACCTAAATGGCTAAATAGATGATTCTTTTTGGCAGTGTGGCTCATTGTTGGTTTAAGCACTCGGTTTTATACCCAATGGGTCACAGGTTCGAGTCCCATTCCACCTATTTCATCCTGAACAACTGGGTAGTAACATCGGCGCTTACAAGGCAAGTGTGGTTCTTAGCCTGATACATGTAAAATCTATTTGGGGTAACTGAATTCAAACTACTGACTGGTCTCTGCAGTCTGTTTCAACTGACTGCTTTAAATAATCCATGTGGTGTTTAGTGGTTCTCAGATTCTCATGTCTAACTATTAAAAAACGTGATGAATAACTCTCAGCGGAATATTAAGTCATCATGAATATATCTAATGAAGTTCGTATGAAGTCCAGCAACTCTGATTTCTACTTTCATTTTTCAAAACTTACTCTAAGTCTTATCAGTTTGTGGGTATGTTGCTTAATGTTTGACATTGGTAACAACGCTAGAGGGGGGGGGAGAAAAGGGAGGTTGTTTGTATTGAAATTTGAAAGAAAATCCACTTTATCAAAACGAACATTTTTTATCCATATATTTAGGAATTTACATTGTCATTAAGGACACTATTGTCTTTAGTGTGTGTGTGTGTGTACGTATATACTTTAGGAGTTGTAAGGGTAAGATGACTTACTTATTTCTCAGTTCGTGTGTGTGTGTGTATTAATTGTAGTTGAAGTGATTTTATTTGTCCTATGTTATATATATATGTATATCTATGATATCCGATTAGTTTTGATCTAATTAACAGCTGTTTTGTTGTAGTTTGATTTTCTGTTGTTGTGTTTTTTTTGTTTTACCCTCTGCCTGATATAATATGCATACACACATGTATGTGTGTGTATCTCATGTATGATTATTATTATTATTAAACATTTCTTCACAAGTTTTCGTTTTATTCATCACTTAATACTGCTTCTATAATTTTAAGTTATCAAATGCCTTTTTTTCCTGGTTATTTGATGAGATTTCCAAGTAATATGACTCCGTATTCGTAAAATGGTTGTAGAAAGAGTAGTATTAGCATTGGTAGTCGTAGTAGTAGTAACAGCAATGATAATAGTGATAGTATAAAAACTTACTTTTTATACCTTTTAATTTATATGAATACACACCGAGAGATTCTGCGCACCCTTTTCTCCTTCTGACATTTCATCTATTGTGTTGTTGTTGTTGTTGTAGTATGTATATTGGTTTGAAAAGATAAAGCTATTGTTACTTTTCTGTCATTTAAAGTATTGCTTTTTATAAAAGTTTAATTTTTAAATCTAATGTTGTTGTAGGCTAGACAGAAGGGGATTTTAATTCTATATATACGAATGATTTTACCTTAACTACTACTACTACTATTACTGCTAATATCATAATGGGAATGAACACTTCAAATTTTTAATGCATATTGTATATTATACAGAGAATGATTATAATAGTTGTAATTGTTACTAATGTAGTTCTTAGTGTTGGTATTATTAGAAGGGTAGAACTGTAGTTCATTGGTCTAGCAGCGGTAATTGACTCTTCCATCCAGTAGAATGGGTCATGGGTTTGAACGCTGTCCTATCTATCCACTGAGGCTTGAGCAATCAGGTATCGGCATCACTAACTGTCAACTGGATAAAACTGCAAGTGCCTAGCCGTTTGTTTAGTGGAGACTGAATTCCATCATGGCCATCGTGCTAGGCGGCTCACCATCACAGTACACCTTGAATTTTTGATATTCCATGGTTGAAGGCGATCTGCAGAAAGCCATGATGCTAGTCGGCACTTATTAGTTAGCAAGGCGTATCTGCAACCACATTAAGGCACCTCATGTCCTTTCTGAAATTCAAACCCGTGTCACTCAGTGTTGCAATCAGAGACGTTATCACTGAGCTATTCGCTCTCGTGGTTGACCTCCTGTAGGACACATGTGAATGTGTAACGTACTTCAGATTTGTTTCAGCTAGAAAAGCAGTAGCGGAATATTACTAACTGTTTCAGCATAGAACTTTGTACGGAAGTGCAGCAATTCAAGTTGTCATACTCCGTGTAGCAGTCAGACAAAAGAGAGAGATAAAAAGATCCAAGAGGACCATATTGATCACAAATATATGGGAGAGAGGGCAATGAAGTAGATAAGATGAGGATTTAACGAATTCCGGGCATAACAAATAGTCAATGCATTTGCATCCTTGAAAACTGTTTCGGGCAATATCAGCAACAGTCTTCAGCCTTTTGTTCTTAGCATCGCACGTATCACAATATTTAATATTGAAGTAATCAAACAACCAGTTTGTTTAATACATATGATAAAAAGTTCGAGAGTTTAAACGAAAGAGAAGAGATTAAATTACTTAGAGTTCAACAGACATGTTAAGTGTAAGTAACTCATTACGCCAACAAATTAGTACGTAAATTTAAAATGTATTGTTGTAATGTATTCAGTTCGATAGACAGTAATTATTTCTATTTTAACGGCCATTTATTTCTTTTTACATGGGGGGGATGTCTATGGTTATTGTTCACGTGAGTGAATGTCTGTGTTACATGCGTTTGGAGTGATTTTAACAAACGGACTTAAATTCAAATATATGGTGTATACATAGTTTCATTTTTTTAAAATAATATTGTATATACTCTTTCTCAAAAGCCAATGTGTTTATTACTATTGGATTTAAATTGATAAACGTAGAACCAAGATTGAGATAATTTTTGTAATTTTCTGAACTAATTTTAAGCTGTGACTGTTTTTAACAAGAATTTTACTCATGTATAGCGTTATATCAACCTGAATTTGTACCCTTTTTAGTCGGGCTTAAAGGCTATTTATGATGAACTGAGAACAATAGAATACACATATATGAGAATTTACCACATTTTACACGATATCAGTCGTTACCAAGGTATCATGAAGTCTCAAATGAATGCCAATAAAATTTTGCAGTGGTTAACAGTTTTGGTTTTTGTTTTTTCTCCGCTTTTCTCAAACTGTAACATAACGATTGTGGTTGTGGACAGAGACGTACATGAGAAGGGTAGTTTTTGTTTAAAAATTGACGAAAACACATTAAAGCACAAAGAAATGCGTTTAATTTCATCTTTGTTGATGGAAAACTATGGCGAAATCCCAGTTAATTTCTTTGTCGCTGTCATCTACTCTGAAGATGTTCCCGTGACTTTTTGTTGCTAGATCTGCCAGGGTCATTGGGATAGTACGCAAGTTAATCACTGTGTGCAGGGTTCGAAGAGGGTTGTATAGTATGTACATGCACGCCCCACCTTGACACTGTCTTGTGGAGCTTGTGGCTCAATAGTCTCAGGGTGCTTGACTTCCAGTCGGTGGGTGAGTTCATACCGCTCCAACTCCCGAAGTTTTGAGTAGCTAGTCCTCACACAATAGGTGTGCGGCTCATTTCAAACTGTATGAAATAGCATTTGGCTGTCTAACATCTTACGTATGTCCATCGGGTGGAGTTGTTAGATATTGAACTTAGTGTTTATCTGGCAGAAGGTTGTTAGGTTGTGTGACATAAGTCTTTAAATTCATCGACTGTTAATCTAAGATATAAAGTTTCTAGATGTCGTCTGTGAAACCAGCGAAATCGATCGCTACTCTCTAGATAAAATACTTAAAAATGGATCATTGATTATCCCTACTGGAAAATATGTGTGTAATTTTACTCCACTGAAATCGCCACCAATTATTGACTGCATGTAAGTCAGTCAGAAGATTCTTCAACTTACTAGGCTAAGAGTTGATTTATGTTTATGAAGATGAATTTTCGATTTCAATCGTGTAGGTATTTGTTGATTGAGTTCGAGTGAAATTCAAGGTCTTCAGGTACATACGTTACTTCCTTTCTTATATAATTCCCAAGTCCTTTATTGCTTGTCTTGTAATGTAAGGTGTGAAGTACTATCTCAACAATGTAGTTTTAGGCAGTCATGTGATCCTACATACTAGGCATTGCTCGTTGCATAGCATGTAAACCTGTACAATAACCTTACAAAGCGTATATTCTAGAGCCCGCGCACAGAAGTCCCAAGCATTTTATCACTAGTCATTTCACTGTTGTATGTGTTCAAGTGTTAGTTTGTAGGGATTTGATCGATTTGTTACAGGATTTCATCATGAGCTGACATTGGTTAGAGAACCACTGGAAAACCTTAGAGTACTGGACAGCCAGCTTTTTTGTCCTAGTTTGGAACTCTTCAGAGTACTCACCCACACTGCGGGGTTCGAACCCCAGGACCTTCTGGTTACAAGGTGAGCGAGCTCATAGACCATTAAACAACTGAGAGCAGATCCAATTGCCCATGAATTCCAGCTTCTGCCCATTCATGACAAAGCGCGACCATTAGCCAATGTCATCCATGGCGAGTATTTGTCCTCACACCTAACCTGCTGCGCACTACGGGTCACGAATTCCCAGTAGCAATTCCCACCCCAGCAAACTACCTAACTGAATAGGGCCAGTCGCCAGTGAACAGCTTATTGATACTCAAGTGTTGATTCGTAGGGATTTGATTGATTTGTTACAGGATTCATCATAAGCACCCCGATGTGTGCGTGCTATGAAGAGTCTCAAACTAGGACGAAACAGCTGCCCAGTACTCCCAGGTCTTCCAGTGGTTTATATGTCTCTAGTGTGCGATCATCTCGTAACCATGAAATTCGCTTCACTGATGTTACATTTATTTTCACTAGATTGATTTACTAAACAGTTTTAAGACAAGCATAGGTAGTTACTGTAGAAGTTATTTTCGAGTTTTGATCACTACATTCATCAGTTCAGTTTCAGTAACTTCTATTGCCTGTACATTTAGTTACTACGCACTAAGATCTCTTCTGATTCGTGTGTTAAATATTCTCCAATCATATAATTCCTATTATATTCCATAGTTTCAAATAGGGTTTATATGTTGTTTGTTGTACTTGCTGCATATGATTATTTCTTCATTTAGTGTTTATCTTTGTTCACTTCGATGGAAAATGATTGTTGTACTGACTGATATGCTGCTGCACATTAGCTAAGTAGGACAATTGGATTGTCTAATTGACTGTGGGTTGTGCTGCCACACAAGTGAAATAGCTAATAGTAAATGATAATTAGCTAAGATATCCTCCCTTTCACAATCTTTTCAGTTTGTTGTTTTCTGTTTCTACATACCTACACACTTACGTATTCATGTTATTTGAAAAAATGTTGGATTATCCTATCGAAGTAGCTTTCCTTGTTTTATCTTTATTTATTTTAATGTCCTCTATCCTGTTTGTGTGTGTGTGGGGCGCGTATTTATGAGGTGTTCAAGTTCTCTATAAAGTTTCATCATTATCATGTTCACTGACTCACCTTTAATTGTCATACTCCAGTGTTTTACTTGTATGTGACTTCGTCTCAATTTTTCTTCTTCAAAAAATGCATGGAGAACAACAATTTTTCTCTTCAGATTCTTGTGAAAGTCAGCTATTCACTTCACCATATTTCTCTTGTTTTTGTTATAATGGAATAAATAATTCATCAACAACTTCTTTACCTAATCAACAAATATCATTTTCGTATCATTCAACCAATGCATCACCTAATCACTGTATATCACCAGCAGTTACTAATACTTCTACTACTACTGCATATACGAAGCATGGTATGGATTTATTGGATTTAATTGATGTCCCCCCAGGAGTCTCCTATACTGATTGTTCATTTTCTATTGATTATCCATCAGAGAAGTTATTTTCATTTTCTGATAATGATGACGATGATAATAATAATAATAATATGAATGATGTTGGTGAAGATAAGGATAACTGTCTTCGAGATAATTCTGTTCAGATATGGTATTCACCTACAATGTCTGCTTTTGTAAGTCGATCTGTTGTGAGAACGTTTTAGTTAGTTAGTTGGATTTTTGATTTATTTAAACTTTTAGACTGTTACCATTCCTTTAGATTGTTCTTAATCTACAGTATTGCAGTATTTACTCCAAGAAGTATTAAGCTCATTTGATAACCAACGTAATTCTAACTAATTGGGTTATGTGGCTCAGCATATTATGAACAGTAATACCATATTCCAAGTTTGTGTATAAAGTTGCCAGTTACAAATCAAGTGTAAAAGCTACTTTTATAAATGAACTGTTTAGGGTGGACTAGGTTGAATCTAAGTGGTTCCTCATAGTCCAGTAGTTAATAGCAGATTGACTAAGCTACTAAATTGCATCTCTATAACAATAACGATACTGGACAAGTATAGTAATTATTTTGTCATTTCACTATAGTTTATTCAATGATTTTCACATTTTTTTTGATGATATCTTTTGTGCGCTAGAGTCTCCCACAGGCGCTTTCGGTAGAAATCTTGTTTACGCATCATTTCTCTCATTCCAATATTTTTTGATACCCTTTCTTTTTTAATACTCCTGAAATTAATGGAGTTCCTGTGATATACTTGACCGGTGGTTTACGCGGTTTCGATGTCTAAACAAAGAGCTACTAACTGATGTTCGATATCTGCAGTTTACATTTTTCCTTTGTATTCTCTTTCCGTCCATTACCTGTCCTCATGAAAGTTTTGATCATTTCACCAGCCTTGTTGATTTGACTTTATTCCCCCCCCCCCATCCACCACAAGAATTTGACATGCGAAAGGCATAGGAACAGTCCTCTTCATCAATCCAAGCTCAAGGATAAAAGAAGCTTGCACTCTATGTGTCAATGATCTGACGGATATATAGATACTTTGATGTAGTGCAGATTACTATGTTTCGTTAACAGCAAATGGATTTCCTACATCCTTGTTAAATTTTTTTCCTGGTGATAAACCCAGTAGGATAGAAACTTATCTATGGTCACTGCAGATATCAAACCGTCGTTAGTTACTGTTTTTAATCTGTAGCAAAGAGACCAATTCAAAAAGACCATTTTTTTGTCTAACAGTTACGAGATATCTGTCATTTGAATCTTATGAATAGGTACTGTATTTCTTTTTTTTAAGATAGCATTGTAAGTTAACCTTGAGTCAATGAACTTTTAGACACGGAGTTATTTCGAAGTGTTTAGATGGCTTTCTTTGGGGAAGTGATGCTTAAAGTATAGTTTATCGTTGAATCATATAGATAGCATTATATTCATGCGTATCGGTGGCACAAGCGGTAGAATGCTTGCCGGCCACGCATGCGGTTTGGGATCTGGTCCCCTGCCGATGCACTCATTTCGCTAAGCCAGTAATAAGACCGGTAAGGAGAGAAGGTAGGGCTGGGCATAAGGCTAGCAACCTCATCCCGTAAAAATAGACACCACTGCTATCGAAACTTGAGGCCTTTTGTTCCACTAGGAACGTAAAGGAATAATAAAAATATTCATATGCTAAGTTATACTTTCTTTTGTTTATGCCTCTGTTTTTCTTTCAATGATACTCATGTGGATTGAGGATAGGATTATATAATGATATTGTCATTAATGATAAAGAGCAACATTTCTGTCCATTCAGTTTTTCTCTAGGCTGAAATGTTTGTTTTCTTCTTGGCGAATACTTTTATGACTTTCAAATAAAAGTACACCTTTAGGAACAGATGTTGAGTAACAGTTTGATAGATATGTGAGCTTTCTTGTTTGTTCGCTAAAAATATATTTCAACTAACATCATGAACATTTAAAGATTTAGACGTTTTGTGATACATTTACTGATTTAGAATAATCTAGAATTGTTCAATTTCACTAAAAGTGTGGACTCACATATCAGTGATTCGCGAAATAGTTTTCGCTGCAATGAGTTGTACACTTTAATTCTTTTTGTTTTGATAAACTACACGAGTAAGTGACATGGGATTCAGCCCGTTGCTGGATTTTTCTTTACACTTCCGTGAGAGACTAGAATTATGTTGTGTTATTTGAGGAATGTATAAGGTAACTTTACAACAAACAGATGAACTTGAAAGTTGTAGGTTGCATATTAATAAGGGAGCTCAATTCTCATAATAAATATCCTGTCGAATTAGTTATTACATTTTCACTTATTTGTGATGATATCTGATTTTTAATATCATTTGTAAAATAATTTCAAATCTATTAAGTCGGATAGAAGTGATTTCTTTCTTGTATTATTCCAATAGTCTTTTGTGCTTAAGAGGTATTATTTATTACGCAGGTACATCCAGATGACAAGTCCCAGATAGGACGAAACGCGCATCCTGGATTCCACTGCTAGTCACTATCCACTAATTAATTCTAATTTTAAGAGGTAATAGTTTATCAAATATGACTTAAAAGTCATCTAATTATAGCGTTTAAGCATTTTCTGTATAATGCCATAATGCCTTAACGTATGTTTGATAGAGGGTGCCTGTAAATGCGTCTAGCGTTCCATGGAATTGCAAATACAGTTATAACACCTCAGTGATAATAAATTCGTCTTTTTAGAAATATGCTGTGATACACAATGCAGTCTGACTGCGAATTATTGTACGTATGTTCTTTTGTTGTGTTTACATGTGAGAAGTGCCATTTAGATTTCATATGTAGGGTGAAGTAGTGTGAAGTGATAACGTACGTCTGTTTTACACGTATATTACTCTGTGAACTTAGAATAATACTGATTAGGTGTTTTAAATTGCTTTTGTCGTCACAACATGTGAAGTACTGTCTGTTTTTATCAAATATGTATTGTGATGTCAGGATTGTTATCATAACTGCACAAGCTCTAGTTTAGTCATGTTATTTTATTTGTAAGGTGATTAATGTAATACACTGAAGCCTGAGAAATGTAATCAGTTTATGGTATGGCATTCAATTTTATGTGTGTCTACTAAGAATACGAAGTTGAAGTCTAAAAAGCTGTATAGCTCGCTTACTCTAGACGCTGAAAATACGTATGACTCAGTATTAAGATCAGTGATACTGTTAGCTTAACTATATAGTCTACCCACTTTTTCATATAATAATGCAAAGTATTACAGTTTTCCACATTCATGAGTGTGTGTGACTTCTGGTCCTCCCTCCCACCCTATTATGACAATCATTTTTATTTCATTTATTGTGGAACACGTTATGGGTGACCATCAAACCAAAATCTGCGATCCATTTAATGCAGTATTTGACAATTGGTTTGAAGCCAGTCACGTATGGTGGTTTAAACTGCCTGGTTAGTGTCGTCAGGATTCTAAGATCCAATGTCTGAAGACTATTGGGGGTGGTGATATGACTTAAAATCATTGTCAACAATTGAGGTACATTCATTCTGTTTAATCTCTCAGATCCTCATATTTCTCTCAAATCACAATTCTTTCCTCCACACATTTCTTCCTGTTGTAGTTCTTTTAAATGTCTTTTTTCTCTTTTCTCTACCTTTGTGTGGTAAATTGAATTGCTGTAATTCTGTGCAAATTTCCTATAATGAATATTAATTATATCTGGCGATTTCATTTGTTGTTGCAGCCACTTTGGAATGTGTTCTGTAGCCCTAACATGCAGAGACCGATGGGTCCTCCCTATGTACGTATCTCCACACATACATGTAAATTGATAAACACAGTGGGATGTGACACTATCGTTCGGATAATGTGAGGGTTTACAGGACAGCATAGTTCTCGTTTTCTCTATGAAGATAAGTTTAGCTGCATAATAGGTTCTATTAATCAAAGAAAAAGACTCAAGGCCGCAATTAATAGAACTTATTATGCAGCTAAACTTATCTTCATAGAGAAAACGAGAACTATGCTGTCCTGTAAACCCTCACATTATGCACATGGTCCGGGGTTCGATCCCCGGCCGACGCACACCTTTACCTCTCTAAGCCAGAAATAATTCTGGTAAAGAGCAAAGGTTGGGCATGAAGCTAGCAACCCCATCCTGTAAAATAAACTCTGCTACAGAAACTTCAAGCTACTAGCTCAAAGCCCTATGTTCCACTGGGGAACGTGAAGGAAAAATTATTTATTATTTTTATTAGTGTCACATCCCACTGTGTTTATCAATTTACATGTATGTGTGGAGATACGTACATAGAGAGGACCCATCGGCCTCTGCATGTTAGGGCTACAGAACACATTCCAAAGTGGCTGCAACAACAAATGAAATCGCGAGATACAATTGACCCCGGAAAAAGATGTCCAACACCATCTATAGCGAAGAATATTAGTTAGTCAGTCAGTCAGGAATACGTATCGTTATCGACATGGAGTAATGTATTCACATTGGAATAGAGAACAGTCTACTAAGTATTGAGCAATCAGTTTTGAAAGCTGATCATAACTGTGTATAGTGTGTGTGTATTTGATTTCTATCTATGAAACAAAATTTATTTGCATTAAAGTGTAGAGAATATTCTCTCTCGTATCATATCTCGGTTTTTTCAACACTCAAGTTAAAACTCATTGCGATAAAGCAAAACTTTTTTCCCTAGCTAGTCGTAGTAGTATTAGTGGTAGTCTCACTATGATAATAAACATTACTTGTAATTTATGGTTTTTGATTTTCGTGACTTGTTAAATTATTTATCTAGAAGTTTTGGCACATATATATATACATATACTGACTTGAATTAGTTGTTATTACTATAAATGGTGTTGTCATATGGAGCAATATAATATTTCCTAAATAATTAATATAAACACTAAATTGTTAAAATAAGTGAACATGTGAGGGGGGAAGAAATTTTCAGGGGATAAAAAAGTAGTAAGTACACTTTCAAGTTATCATTTCAAAAATATTTATATGGATATTTTAAAGAAAAACTATGCGCATTGAAGTGATGTCTGAGAAAATTGGCTAAATTTCTATATATCCTACCCTGTCCTTTATTTTCTTGTACGGAAAACTTGGAAAAATCTTTGTGTTTTGATGATTTATTATTACTTGTTAAATCAC